TTTTCCTCCTGGAAAAAGAAAGCACCGCGTCGCGATGGATTAGACAGCCCTGCCATGTCTGGCTTTTATGCCTTTCAGGGAAGAAAGGCCAGTCCTCTAAACAAGCTCAACACCTTATAAAAACCAGGATAACCAGGCAATCTGTAGATATAGATGCCAGTTTCTCTAGTTACCACACCGAACGGCTATGCCCCGTAAACCGTGGTAGCCAAGTTGATGCCATGCTTGCTCTAATATAAAGAAAAAAAACTTGGTAATTATGAAGAAAGCTATGAACCATCCCTCTGGAATTCTACTGATATGTGATGTAATACGACAGGTGTGATGCATTTTTTCCTTCTGCACGGTGATCAAGTACCAGACAAGGAGCAACTATACCAAGTTGCCTCTAATTATCTATTCAACTATAACAGGGGTTCGTGCGCAAACAGAAACGATTCCAATTTGGCAGGCTGTTAACTAGACATGACACATTTGTCTACTGATTTCCTGGTACTGATGAGGAAAGCTAAGCCACTTTTGTCATTTGCAGGGACAGCTGAGAAATAACAACTTCATCATCTGCCAGTGAAAATACTAACATTCTCTTGCAAGGAACCACCTACTAAACTGAAAATAACAAATTTTTAGTGCATCGAAGAATTGCCTGATCTCACAATTTCTCCGTCCCAACATCTGGTGTCAACATGGCATGAGGATGAAGAAGGTTCAAAACCTAGCAACGACCAAAGGAACGAACGAGCACTTTGATGCATTTGTAGTTTGAACTATCTTCTGCCGCTCTTCTCTCTAATTTTTTTGAAGGGCTTCTCTCTAATTATTTAGTTGAACTGAATCCCCGTACGTGGAACCATACCTGTCTTACCTGTCTATGTTCAATTCAAACCCAGCCCCTGTTTATTAGACTCGTCAATTTATAGTCATGTCCATTTCTTGAATGAATCTCTGATTATAAGGCTCTCCTTTTTGTGTAAAGTTCAGTTGTTTGCTGAGTTTGCTCTCGAAACAAAGGCAGTACTACACAATCTCTCAGTTGATGCTGCTATCCTGGTCGTCCTCACAGTCGGGGTGGTCTCATCGTGCTCATCATGGCCTCTTCCGTGAGTTTTTCCATCTCTGGTCCTGAGCAGATAATTGTTATAAATTTCGGGATTGATTCAGGAGCTGTAATCATCAACTGTCAGCACATTGCCTTCATGCAGTAAGTTCACTAGTTAAGTTTATTTATCTACTCTAAATGAATATGCATTATTTATCTTCATGCAGTAAGTTCACTAGTTAAGTTCATTCCAGAAATAAGAATGATGCAAATCAGCTAGCCTTTGCACTTGGAATTCATCACATGCCTTCAATACATTTTTTAGATACTAAACATACGCTTTGCACTTCAAGGTAAAACAGATTCATCACACTATAAAAATGACATTTCGCTTTTGGTGAACCTCTTTGAAAATATGCATTTCAATGATGTATTTAAGATATAAGAAAGTGATTTCTCATCATAACTAGCGAAGCCCAGTCCCAATGTTCTGAAACATAAGAACTCTTGTCATACAGATGCTGCTGTGATAATGGAAAATGTTGATACTCTTCTTTGTATAAATGTTGAAGTGAATCGTACATAAAATTTTAGCCTATTAGCTTCTGGCCCGCATTGCTGTTAATTTTCTGCTCTGATTCGAGCTAACTTGGCTCCTGAAAGATTTTTAACTGCTTACTATAGCTTCAGACTTGAATTGGGTATAATAAGTTTCAGAATTCACACATGGAGTCTGAAAGATTCAGAGTTAACGTCCAGCTCCTGATTCAAATTCAGAGTTCAGTGTACAAAATTTGCATAATGCATACTGTTTACATGCATGTGTGACTCTTACAAACTGCTTGCATCCAAGTGAAGATCCAACAAAATGCAAAAAATGATTAGAGTACCAGATGCTAGTTTATTCACATCAATAGTAGTACAATACTAGAAGGATTACTCACCTTGCAAAATTCAGAAAAGAGAAAAGTAGGAGCTTCCCTGAATAAAACTCACGCCATCATCAGACCATACTTGACACTGAAGCTTCAGGGCATCATCAACTAACAGAGCCTTCGGAATCATGTATAGTACAGCAAAGCCATTGCCTACATGTTTCATCTCGTTTCCTGGAAGAAGAAAAAAGCACCATCGACATCCAGTTTCCACACATCTTCACCTGGAAGAAAGAAAGCACCATCCGCATTCAGTAAATCAGTATGCTCCTATTGCCCACCCACTTTTTGCTTGATGAAAAACTCCACATCTTCTCACCCGGTGGTAAGCCGCTTTACTGATCAACCTGTTCCCCTTGCCTGCATTTCATTCATATTGTTTCTATAATTTCAACAAGCACCAGAGAAAGGGACACATAGCTGATCTTTAAATCACATCTCTTGGCCAGTATAGCATGGACTTATCCTTTGCCTTACTGTAAGCACACACCTGAGATCTTCCAACTTCTACAGCCTCAAATCATGAACAAACAAATGTGCACCATCCTCACACAGGTTGGTTCGTAAACTGAGGTACATACTATTCCTATGTTTGAAATTTTGCAAGATTCTATACTGCATGGCATCCCATCCGGTTGTTTTCCTTTTCCTGTTATGACTTAAATTTTCCCTTTACGAAAATCATAGGTACACTATCCGTCACTGAACTTCAATGATATCCTTCTCCAGATGAACACCCAATAATCAAGTACAGATTATGTGGTCAGTTGGAAGTAATCTGCCCCAAAAGGCTAGCAGATTATGTGCAGCATTTTGAACAAACAAGAATACTAGGGGGGAGTAATTAAGAACCTGCAGTCTCTGCTAAGATTCAGACCATGTATCCAACTGTTTGCTTCCTACATTCACAATCACAATAGCCAAAGTACTCCCTCCGTTTCTAAATATATGTCCTTTCAGAAATTTCAATACGGACTACATACAGATCTATATAGACATATTTTAGAGTGCAGATTCACTCATTTTGCTCCATATGTAGTCCATATTGAAATCTCTAAAAAGACTTATATTTAGGAACGGAGGGAGTAATAAACACTCAGTTTTAGCCAAACTAAAGAAGAGGCAGCTCAGTTACAGAAGGAAGAAACACCAACTAGCTGCTAGTAAACCTCCTGGTGGTGCTTGGCACAAAGAATTACCCACAGGACCAAAATGCAATAATGAACTAAAAATCTTAAGCTGCCATCCACAACAAACACATAATTTATGGCCATGGTGCAGAGCATAAAAATCCAAAATACACACAGTACAAAATTAGGGCTTCTTTGTCTAGCAGCAAGTGCTTCTCCATTGTCTCAATAAAATTACTAGCATAAAAATGAATGGATGCACCTAAGTTTACTTACTTAAATTTAAATGATGCCAACCCTCCTCCATGTGGGAGTTCGACGTTTAGTAAAGTGGGCATCTCTCCTTAGCAGATAACCTGTACGGATGTGAGCCCTGCGCATTTCATCCTGCAGTCCAGTAGGTATTTCCAATATGACCAATGGCTCCAAATCATTACCTCTTATCCAACTAAAGGAGAATCCACTTCCGGACATTTTTCATAGTTGAGTGAATACATCTATATTAGTTAGTTAAAGCAAAAAAATGGATCACTATGAGTCTGCATATGAGCAAACCAAAATTATTTTTATAACAAACCATGATCAAAAAATAGATTAAGCTAAAGCCAGGTGACTTGACCCTGGGCCCTCAATAGGAAGCGCTAACACCAGGAGCCAACATCTCCTACAGCTGCTTCCAAAAAGACTACTCCCTCCGTCCCAAAATAAGTGTCGTGGCTTTAGTTCAAATTGAGACGGAGTAGGTACTTATTTTGGGACGGAGTAGGTACTTACCTAAATTTGTGACTGGCATCAGATTGATGCTCCAATTATCCAATGAAGGATACCATACTGTGGCTCATTGTCTCAATGCACCAGCAACTAACTCAAAAACTGATATTTTAAATGCATTGCAGAATGGCCTGACCTCACACTTACTTAGTTCCAATACGTGTGTCTAAAACATGAATGAGGACGAAAAAGGTTCATAACCAATCCATGGTTTCTTCTCTGCTGAGTGATAGCATTACATACCAGTCTTCAGGGATCAAATTATCAATTCCATCACACGTTAGCAACGACCAACCCAGCATCTAACAGTCATACAACAGCAGACAATTACATCATAGTCCGTTCTTGGCTCGTGTGAATCTGAAATTAGTCGGCAGTTGCCCTTTACAAGCAGCATCATAGTCTTCTTGGAGGTGTGGTGCAGCTTCCTTATGAGGGCATATGAACTTCTCCCTGAATGTCTTTTCGGTCCCCGTGAAAACAGTGCTGTAGCTCGGGTTGCGCTTGAGCAATCCATTTTCGTTGAGAAACTTTACAGCATAGTACCGGGGCCTGAGCCGGCCCTCTAGGCTGTAGCAGACAATTGCTGGCTGTTGAGCAATGTAAGCCGGTTCCAAGCCCACCTCAGAGATGAGGAACTCGGACCTGCGCTGCAGCGATTCCTTGGCCCTCGTCAGCACCGATGGAGCTTTAGACACAGCAATGCCCACCTCAGCATCCGACCACCTGAATGTGCTCTTCAAGTAGTCTACTCTAGCTGCGACCTCCTCCTCACTATGGAATGCAATAGCATGCAGCGCGTGCCTGAACATCGCAGAGCCACGGGGCACACCTATGTTTTGAGCGCGTGCCACAATGCCCTGGATGCACTCTGGATTGGTGGTGAGCAGGCGCGGTTGATTGCTGCATAGCTTGGCAATGTCACAAGCACCTAGCCCGCACTCGTGCAGATAAGCGACATTGGGCTTGACGATGCCGTCGAGGTCAGACGAGAGAAGGTAGGGGTTCCTCTTGAGGGCCCGGAGGAGGTTCTTAGAGGACCCAAAGAGAGGCATGTAGTAGTGCAGCTTGGAGACGATGGATCTATAGCGGAAGCTTTTACGGGAGAGCGAGACGAGGCGCGCGATGTCGGAGCGCGAGAGGCCGAGGCCAGTGAGCCCGGCGACGACGGGGGCCAGGGTCTTGTCCACTTTGGCGCAGAGGAACTGCGGGTCCTTGGCGACGAGGGCGGCGACATCGGCGGTGGAGAGGCCGAGACCAGCGAGGAAGGAGAGGACGGCGTCGGGGTTGTCGGGGGATTTGAGGTGGGAGAGCTTTGGAGAGGCCTTGGCGGCCTGTGGTCGGGTGAGGCCGCAGGTGGAGACGAGGTAGTCCTCCACGGCGAAGCTAGGGTTCGGGGAGACGGCGGAGAAGAGGCGGCGGAGGTGGGAGGCGGGAGACGCGGAGGGAGATGAGAGGAGCTGGGTGAGGAGGCAGCACCTGAGGCGGAGCATGGCGGCGCCGCCCGCGGAGAGGAAGATTGGCGGCGGCGGCGGCGGCGGCGGCGAGGGAATGGGGAAAGCGGATGGCTGCTTGGTGGTGGGGAACGGGGACGGTGATTCCTGTCTCCAGTCCAGCGTTGTTCAACCTGAGTGGGTCCCGCCCGTCAGTCTCATGCTGCCATGCCATTTCTATAACGTGAGCGATCCCTTTTGCATTGCATTTGCAGCAAGGGAGGCACACACTTCAGTTAGAAATTCTTATGATTCGAATTATGTATCCCTAAATTATGTTCCCGATGTAGTCATTCTCATTTGAGTTCAACAAAGTGTGCCAGACCTTCAAAGGCGTACACCATAGGAAAAAAATAGATTCAAAATGTGAAAATACATTCGTGATTTTAATTTGGGTTGACTGTCCAAAAATCAACCCCTTTCCCATCTCCCTCCCAAGCCGCTCTTGCCCGCGACACCGGAGGGGCAACCCTAGCCGCTCAATACCCTCCTCGCGTGCTCCTAGGTCGGTGCCGACGGTGGTGCGGCACCCGGCCCGTCAAAGACGAAGGGTGTGGGTTCGACGCGCCCTCGGGTGGGGGGAGTGGCGTCAGGTGGGTAGCGCGGGGAGTCCTTTGGTATGGCAGTGCACGACGAGGGGAGCACGGAGCAGTGGAGCATGATTGGGAGCTAGCAAAGGAGAGGGTGGTGCGCGATGGTCCTCGAGAAGACGCCGATGTGGGAGGCGACATGGTTGGGCTGTGCAGAGGGGTACCGGCGTTCGACTAGGTGACGTTTCGCGAGCGACGACGGGGCACTGGCTGTTGTGCGGTCCATTGGTGAACGTGTCGCCGGAGCGGCGGGCGGGAGGCTACGGTGCGGGAATTGTTGGCGGCGGTGCTGATTGGAGTTGGATCCATCCGGGGTCGATCTGGGTCCCTGGCTCCCTGCCCGCTCGGAGTGGTGTGATCAGGTGATGCTTCCAATGTCGGCGGCCTTGGCGTGCTGGTGATGGAGCCTAGGCTGGTGCTGCTAGATCTCGACCGTGCAAGAGGTGGAGTTGGAATGTGGTTCCTCGGCCGTACAGGGTGTCGATGTTTCGTTACACCATCGACATGATGAGGAGGTGTTGCGACAGCGGCGGTGTGCCACAACGTGTACAATATGGTCGTTTTCCTATCGGATGGGTGGGATGTGTGCGACGTTGCAGATAAAAATCCTGCATATCTTCGGTTGGTGCTGGCGGCGACGGGGCCCGTGGGCGTCGTACCCCTCCTTGGAGGCGTCGTTGAGGTGTGTCCCCCTTGTTTGGATTGTTGTCTCCGGGCAAAAGCCTAGGTTTGTTGCCGGACCAGCGATGACTGCATCTTTTCTCTGAATCTATATGTTTTAGGGTTGTGAAAGGGAGTAGAAACAAAATGTAGGAAAATGTTGAAAGGGGTATATGAGGAAAATGGATTTGCAGAGAACAAGCAATAAGATATGAGACCTCCGTCCCAAAAGCGTTTTTGACACTAGAGAAGAAGCTGTCAACTACTCCCTCCGTTTCATAAGCTTGAGGCATATAAACATCTCGGCTCACAATCGATGTGTACTGCACTCCCAACTTTTGCTCAAGGTGTTGCAGGCCACTAGGGTTCAGGTGAATATAAACAGATCATCTGCAGTAAGTTTGAATACCTGGTAAAACAATGTATTAGTGCATCTTCTTTAATGACAACACAGACTGGTAGAGATTTTCACATCAAGGAAAATAGAATAAAGTAAAACAGGAGGATCAACTCATTCAGATCAGTAATTCGACCAATTATGCTTTTAAGGGCCAAGAAGGCAATCATCTAATCATGGAGCACAAGAAAGATCATTTTAGTTAGCAAAGGGCACACACATCATCCAGTCTCTATGTGAAAACATCATCCATACACAACGAGTTGCTTTGACTACAAAAGTTGTACATGGTTGGCAGGTATTAGAATCTCTAGCACAACACTACAAGGAAGGATTGCACAACCCGTGGAATCCAAAAATAGAAACGCGGGAGCTTCTTCTCTGCACACAAAACTCACGCCGCCGTCAGGTAATACCTGTAACTGAAGGAAGCTTCAGGGCATCATCAACTAGAGTATCACTGACTGAGATCTGCCTCCGCTTGCGCTACGATATGCCTTGAGCCTAGCCCCGAACCAGAGCTGATCCTCACATAGAGGCAGATCCACAGGCGCCAGGCTTCATCGATATCCTGGAAGAAGGAAGCACCCTCTCTATCCAGTTTCAGCAGCCAGCAGTCAGCACATCTTCTCCTAGAAGAAAGACAACACCATCAGCAGTTCAGTCTGCTCATATTGTCATTAGCATAAGTTCCTTTATTGTACTAAATGCCCTCTGCTTTCCAGCACCGTGCCATACAAGCATCAATTCACCTCCCCTGTACAAATTCCAGGGCCTTTGAAATGTCCATTACATAATTGCTAGACTACCACTGTGTTGGTGAACGTTGCAGAAAATAAAAAATTTCCTACGGTTTCACCAAGATCCATCTATGAGTTCATCTAAGCAACGAGTCATGGGAGAGAGATTGCATCTACATACCACTTGTAGATCGCGTGCGAAAGCGTTCAAGAGAACGGTGATGATGGAGTCGTACTCGCCGTGATCCAAATCACCGATGACCAAGTGCTACATGGACAGCACCTCCGCGTTCAACACACGTACGGAGCGGATGACGTCTCCTCCTTCTTGATCCAGCAAGGGGAAAGGAGAGGTTGAGGAAGAAGGCTCCAGCAGCAGCACGACGGCGTGATGATGGTGGAGAGGCAGTACTCTGACAGGGCTTCGCCAAGCACTCAATGGAGGAGGAGAGGTGTTGGGGAGGGGAGGGGCTGTGCCTTGGATCAGGTGTTCAGCCCTCCCCTCGCCCCTCTATTTATAGGGGAAGGGGGAAGGGGGCCGGCCCCCTCTAGATGAGATCTAGAGGGGGGGGCGGCGGCCAGGGAGGGGGGCTTGCCCCCCAAGCAAGGGGGACGCCCCCACTAGGGTTCCCCCCCAACCCTAGGTGCATGGGCCCAAGGGGGGGCGCGCCCAGCCCTCGAGGGGCTGGTTCCCTGCCCCTTGCGGCCCATGAGGCCCTCCGAGAGGGGTGTGTTGGAAATATGCCCTAGAGGCAATAATAAAAAGATTATTATTATATTTCCTTGTTCATGATAATTGTCTTTTATTCATGCTATAATTGTATTATCCGGAAATCGTAATACACGTGTGAATACATAGACCACAGTACGTCCCTAGTAAGCCTCTAGTTGACTAGCTCGTTGATCAACAGATAGTCATGGTTTCCTGACTATGGACATTTGGATGTCGTTGATAACGGGATCACATCATTAGGAGAATGGTGTGATGGACAAGACCCAATCCTAAGCATAGCACAAGATCGTGTAGTTCGTTTTGCTAGAGCTTTTCCAATGTCAAGTATCTCTTCCTTAGACCATGAGATCGTGTAACTCCCGGATACCGTAGGAGTGCTTTGGGTGTACCAAACGTCACAACATAACTGGGTGACTATAAAGGTGCACTACAGGTATCTCCGAAAGTGTCTGTTGGGTTGACACGGATCGAGACTGGGATTTGTCACTCCGTATGACGGAGAGGTATCACCGGGCCCACTCGGTAGTGCATCATCATAATGAGCTCAGAGTGACCAAGTGTCTGGTCACGGGATCATGCATTACGGTACAAGTAAAGTGACTTGCCGGTAACGAGACTGAACGAGGTATTGGGATACCGACGATCGAGTCTCGGGCAAGTAACATACCGACTGACAAAGGGAATAGTATACGGGGTTGCTTGAATCCTCAACATCGTGGTTCATCCGATGACATCATCGAGGAGCATGTGGGAGCCAACATGGGTATCTAGATCCCGATGTTGGTTATTGACCGGAGAGCCGTCTCGTTCATGTCTGCGTGTCTCCCGAACCCGTAGGGTCTACACACTTAAGGTTCGGTGACGCTAGGGTTATTAGGAAGACTTGTATGTGATTACCAAATGTTTTTCGGAGTCCCGGATGAGATCCCGGACGTCACGAGGAGTTCCGGAATGGTCCGGAGGTGAAGATTTATATATGGGAAGTTGTCATACGGACACCGGAAAGTTTCGGGGGCATATCGGTATTGTACCGGGGCCACCGGAGGGGTTCCGGGGGTCCATCGGGAGGGGACACCCCTCTCGGAGGGCCACATGGGCCGCAAGGGGCAGGGAACCAGCCCCTGGAGGGCTGGGCGCCCCCCCCTTGGGCCCATGCGCCTAGGGTTGGGGGGAACCCTAGTGGGGGCGTCCCCCTTGCTTGGGGGGCAAGCCCCCCTCCCTGGCCGCCGCCCCCCCTCTAGATCTCATCTAGAGGGGGACGGCCCCCTTCCCCCTTCCCCTATAAATAGAGGGGCGAGGGGAGGGCTGAACACCTGATCCAAGGCGCAGCCCCTCCCCTCCCCAACACCTCTCCTCCTCCGTTGAGCGCTTGGCGAAGCCCTGTCGGAGTACAGCCTCTCCACCATCATCACGCCGTCGTGCTGCTGCTGGAGCCTTCTTCCTCAACCTCTCCTTCCCCCTTGCTGGATCAAGAAGGAGGAGACGTCGTCCGTTCCGTACGTGTGTTGAACGCGGAGGTGCTGTCCGTTCAGCACTTGGTCATCGGTGATTTGGATCACGACGAGTACGACTCCATCATCCCTGTTCCCTTGAACGCTTCCGCACGCGATCTACAAGTGGTATGTAGATGCAATCTCTCTCCCATGACTCGTTGCTTAGATGAACTCATAGATGGATCTTGGTGAAACCGTAGGAAAATTTTTAATTTTCTGCAACGTTCCCCAACAGTGGCATCATGAGCTAGGTCTATGCGTAGTT